GCCTGGCAGCCTCGAACATCAGCTCCTTGTGCTTGTTGCGTCCGCCACGCGCCGACAAACGAAACCAACCCACCAAGAGTCTGAGGCGCTCGTGCTGCTGCTTGAACTCTGGGTCCTTGAAGAAATGCGTGGGCGCCCTCTGCTCCGACGCTGCAGCCCTGCTCCGCACCTCAATGCTTGTGGTGACAGGAGCGCGATCACTCAGTCCACGATCATGTAACAGCTCGGGATACTCAGGAGTGGCCGCGCAAATGTGGTGCTGGAGCGTCTGCCAGCTCGGCAGCGAAACGAAGGCCCGATCTATATGCGTGAGCTTGGGCTGCCACTCGTTGGTCACGTAGTGCGCGGGCAGCTCGTTGTCTATTTCCATCATTCGATTGAAGAGCTCCTTCCAGAACTGCTCGCGCGGCCTGCGCGCCGTGTCTCCAGGACTTCTTCGACGGTCAATCTCAGGAGCCCTCGGATACATCGGTAACTGCTTGTAGATATTGAAGTCGCCCAACAGAAACACTGTGACCCGCTCTGGGGCCATGTCGGCCACAGTGAGATCCGCAGATAACTGCGCCTGCAGTACCTCCCTCTCGCCATCCGTCAAATTGAAATTGCGCACATTGTAGATGACCGCGCTGCAAGCATGAGCCGAGGAGCTGGCAAGGATTCCCGAAATCCGCACACGCTGCACCCTCCCACGGGCGAGGACCTCACGCAAGAAGCGAGCTCGCCTCTCGACGCCAGCATCACAGGGAATGACAAGAGCCACCCCTCCCGCATCGGCCTGAGGCAGAAAGGAACAGAAGGCACGGTGAGGAATGTGTAGCCGATGAAGCGCTTGCCGTAGCTCCGCCTCGGTCGAGTGGACCTCCTGAAGCGCCATGATGGCGCCGCGCCTCAGGTGCTGTGCAAGATGTTGAAGCTTGTGCTCTCGAACACCTCCCACGCGTCGGTCATGATGGAGAAGGGCGCGCGTATTCCACGTGCCCATCGTCAGCGGTGCCGAAGAGGCAGATGGAGGCCTCCAGCACGCGAGTCGATCATTAAATAAACCACTGGACTCGCTCCACCTCGCCGAATAATTCCTCGAAGGCATCCTTGACAGCAGACTTGTCCACGCCAAGATCAGTGACCATGCGATAGTTCCATTCCAGGCTCGTCGCTTGGCTCGCCTCGTCTGGAATGACGACCCTGACCACCGGAGAGGAGCCGTGATATATGACTCCCTGTGCTCTGTTCGCACGCCACCGCCCAGGCACGCCGTCGCGCTTGATGATCTCGAGGAGCTTCTTCGATTGAATTTCACGGCGCACCATCTGCGCATTCTTGTCCAGACTGATAAACAGGGAAGTCCGAGCGCCAGCAGGAGTTGCAGTCTCGAAGCGCCCCCAAGCCCCGTTGTCCAGCCTGAGCTTCTTGAAGGCATGCTGAACGCGTCGGGCAGCGAGGCCCTCGGCGCCCTTGAATTGTACAATGAATCGCCTTCCTGGTCCATCGCCTCGAGTCTCCCACTGGTCCTCCGCGAAGCCTCCCGCCTCGAGCCACTCCAGAACGCTGGCACGGGCCTCCTCCTTTGCAGCGGGTTCCTGCGTGGTGGCCGTGTAGATAGTGTGGTTCGGCTCCCTGGTGAAACTCGCATTCTCCGCGATGTCGTGAATGGCAGGCACCGCCTGCTCACATTGGTGAACGATCTGCTGGAGCCGCCTGACCTCCTCACGCATGTCTCTGTGTGAACGCTCCAAGACATCCTGCCGCGAGTCGAGGTCGCGGACTCGGAGCCCCATCTCCTCATTGAAAGCTTCCTGTCGAACAGCCAGTGCACGAACCGCTTTGGCCGTGCCCTCATGTATGTTGTGCTCCATCTTGGTGATGGCCTCGGCGACCGAGGCATGGACCGACTGGGTGATGTCGGCGCGCAGGGTGCTGAGGATGTCATCCAGGTCGCAGCGTCGCAGCACCCGCACGTCTTGGGCAACAGGCGTACCAGGAGTAGGCCCAGGAGAGCCAGTGCCAGTAGAAGGAGTCCCAGCCTCAGCCGCCGCAGCGGCCCCACCCGCCCGAGGGGAGCCTGCCGCTGCGCTGCCAGCCTGGCGCCACGGGCCAGCCTCGATGAGTGCATCCACACGACTGGCTTTGCTGCTCGGCTCCTCCGTCTGGTCGCCGATGAAGTGGTGCCTGAGCTTCGACGCTGAGGCCGCACCTGCACTGCCTCGACCGCCGCCCTTCCCACCACCCAGACGGCAGCCACTTGCACCACTGTGCTGAGAAGAGTCTCCAGCGCCATCAAGCATCGACGTGGATGTACAGAGCCCTGGCAAAGATGTGAGGGATGAAACCTCAATTGCCCCCGTAGGGGATGTAAGAAGTAGATGTGCACGAAACCGAAACACAGACACAGGCGAATCGAAATGGAGAGCGGCCTCAAAGCGGAACCTCCCTCGCGCTCAGACGTCGCCCCGAAAGACTCGCTGTCGTCGGGACGGTTCATGGCCTTGAGCCAAAATGGCTACGGATGTATATAAATAATATATAATATATATATATATAATATATATATATATATATATATATATGTATATGTGTATACCCTCCTCTGGCCTGCGGCCCGCTGCCCGTGACCCAGACCGAAGGGGGAACGAGCCTCTGCTAATCGTTCCCTGCCGCCTTCGCGCTGCCTGGCCACAGCGCAGGAGGAGGAGGAGGAGGAGGAGGAGGAGGAGGAGGAGGAGGAGGAGGAGGAGGAGAGGAGGAGGAGGAGGAGGAGGAGGAGGAGGAGGAGGAGGAGGACAACCAACGAGGAGGCGAGACGGCGGGGAGGGCCCTCTCCCGCTGGCCCCCCGGCGCCGCCGACGGGCCGTGCAGCGCGGCCAAAACGGCTGGAGGAGGATCGAGGAGGAACGCGGCCGTGCGGGATCGAGGACGCCGCGCCCACCGCGCACCCGGTGCGAGAGGTGAGCCGAGCGGGGCTGTTAGGCCCCCGCGAGATTCTCGGCCAAACTATGTGGTGCGCCGATAGAGCCCTGCGCGCCGCCACGTTGGTCCCGGGCAGGCTGTGCTGCCCTAGGGGGAGGGAGGGAGGCACGGAAAAGGAGGAGAGGGGAAGCAAACGCAAGCAAACAGGCCAGGCTAGAGGCCGGGAGAGAAGGGCCACCTGGGACGAGGCTACGGACCCCGCGGCAGCGCCAGGGACCGGGCGGCGCAGGCGCAGCGGTGGAGTGGGCGGTGGGCGTCGAGGGGGGGCGGAGGTCGCTCGTAGTCGTGGGGAGGGGCCGTCGGGATCGTCGGGGAGGTGGCCGACCGAGCCCCGCACGCTGCGGCTTGGTGGGGAGGGCCGAGGAGGGGGGGCGAGGCTCGAGGACCCGAGGAGACCGGCGACCCCTGCCCCTCCCCTGCGCGGGTGGCCTCCGAGCAGCGGGGCGCCGAGGCCGCTGCCCGCCGCCGCGGAGCTGGAGCCCGCCAGCTGCGCCCCGTCCTGCCGCAGCGGCGGCCGCAGAGGGGGCGGCCCAGACGCGGCGGGGCAGCGGGGCAGCCGAGGTCGGCTGGTCAAGCTTGGGGGGCAACGCTCAAGGGCTGCAAGGCTCGATGCAGGGGCCATCTGAGGGCTGTTCCCGGGGGGGGGGGGGGGGGGGCAGCTCCGAAGGGCCGTGTGCCCTTTCCGGGCGGCGGCCGCAAGAAGGGGCAGCCGGCGTGCGCCGACCAGGCTTAGGAGGCAGCTAGTGGGAGGTCATCGAAAGAGAAGTCGAGGCAGCAGGCCAGACTCAAGGGTCATTGAGCAAGGTTAACCCAGATTGCCCGATTCATGCAAAAGAATTGGGAAACGCTGGATTGAACCAGATTGTGTCGGATTAGGCCGGTTTTCGACCAACTTCTGGGAGGCCTTCGTAAGATACATGCAAAGGCTATTAGGCCCGATTCAGGGCCACTGAATCGGATTAGCCCTGCTTGCGCCCAGGACCAAGCCGACTAAAATGTTAACATAAACTGCTGGCGCTCCGCGTGGATTTCTTGGATCTGCGCGGGACCCCCCTCCCTGGCGCGCGGGGCGGGCGCGCCAGGGGCGGCGCCAGAGGCGCCGCCAGGGGAGGGGGCCCAGCGCGGATCCAAGAAATCCGCGCGGAGCGTCAACAATTCGTGTTCATGGCGCTGTTTGCTTCGAGCGTGGGACGATGGGGACGGTGAGATTTGCGCGTTCTCTGCGAAGGCACACCCCACTTCGGAGGAACGCCGGTCGCGCCGACCGACGGCGTGCCAACGGAGGCCGACACGTACAGGAGCTCCAGAAGGCAGCAGTCCGCCCGCCCCGGCCCTCACAGGTCCAGGCCCTCCGGGAGCGGCGCCGGAGCGGCAGCGGCCCGCGCCGAGGGGAAGAGGCTGGCCCGGGCTTCCGTGATCTGGCGAACCCAGGCGTCGATCTCGCGTATCTTCTCGTGCTTCTGGGCGATGTGGGGCCACGAGTTCTGCACACGTGTGCCGCCCCTGGCCATGCCCATGCTGGAGCCCAGAGCGGCGGGGATGCGCCCCTCCAAGCCCGCAGCCAGGAGGGATCCCTCGTGACGCATGCCTAAAAACATCAACACAACCACGCTTCACCTAAACAATACAGACGTTCGCATCTTTTAAGAAAGCCGCCAAAATTACAACCATCACCCGAAACTGCATGTATCCACCTGCTTGTCTAGTTCATTGAGCCTATGGGGAGTATACGCCGATCGTGGGCCCAGGATGGGCCTGGCCAGAGGCTGTGGATGTGCACAAATCTCGTCGCCCTACGATGACCTGCTCGTTCTCACGCACAGCCTCCCTGAGCTCCTGGTCGTCCTCCGCCTCCAGTGCCTCGAGGATCTCCGCGTTGGAGCGCTCGAGGTGGTGTATCCGCTCCAGCTCCTTCTCGCGGCACCGGCGGAGCTCGATGAGGTCATCGGGGAGTTGCTCCGGCTCCCGCTCCTTCCGAGCCACCCGCAGTTCACCCCCGCCCTCCGCGCCTCTGCGAGGGGACTTGGGCGACCTGGCTAGGACACGGGGAGGACAAGCGGGGCGGAGGAGGCGAGGGGAGAAGACGAGGAGGGCGAGAAGCAGGAGGAGGCGGGAGAGAGGACTGAGGTGACGCCGAGGGAGCGAGCGCCTGAACCGACGCCGCCACGCACGTGCTCCGTACGTCGTGGCATCTGAAGGGGACGCCAGAAGGCCAGGCAGGGGTCCGAGGAGGAGGAGGAGAGGAGGAGGAGGAGGCGGAGGAGGAGGAGGAGGAAACGGAGGCGGAGGAGGAGGCGGAGGAGGAGGCGGAGGAGGAGGGCGAGACACAGCAGCGGAGGACGGGGACGAATTCCGAGGCCGCACTCCTTACACAGCAGCATCCTCGCGCGGCCCCAGGGGCCGTGCCAGAGGCCTCGGAACGCCCACCGCTGGCGCGGTTACTGTCGGCAAGGTCTGCCCCCCTCAAGGACAACTCAGGGTGCGGTCAGCCAGCGCGAGTTGTGGCAATCCTTCGTGACAAATTGCGTCAGCGGCCCTCGCGCTCCATCCACGGCAACTGGCTCGAGCCAAATGAATAACGGAGCCCTCGGTCTCTCTCGGCCTCTGCGTTCTGATCCCTGTAAGCAGCACGTCGCCGTTGGCACACAAGGCAAGCTACCCTACGAACGCGCGCATCCAGGAAGGATCCTGCGCGGTTTTTTTAAGGCCAACATGGATAGAGATAACTTATGACGAATCGGCAATGGCGGCGGCCATTGCACGAGGGTGGTGGTGCAGGTGCTCGAAGCAAGCAGACAACGAAGGTACTTGTGGTGCCACAGGGAGCAGGGAGGGGTGAGAGGGAAAAAGGGGGGAAGGAGGGGGGAGAGCTGGACACAGGGGCGCAGTATCGTCACAAACTCCCGATCGCCCGCAGAGCGGCTGATTCTCGTAACACCCTGGTGCTGAGACTGTGAATCCTGCTCTGTACAGTGGAAGGCGCATACGTATGGCACACCGCTGCTCCAATGCCGTACTGGCTGCGCGCGTTCAGCTGTCCGTAGTGTGATAACCTTGAGGCCGCAATGTCCGCCACCGCCCATCTCTCTTTCCAGGATGCCGCCTGCGGACCCAGTCGATGGCCCCAAGAGAAACCAAGAGGGGCTGGGGGGGATGAGCCAGAGCAGAACACGAGGAGCGATTGCCCAAACCCTGAAACACAATCTGTTCACGTCTCACGTTTATTTCTGCCGCCTTACCCGCTTCCGCCGGCGTTCCGCCACCGAGTTCTTTTCTAGACTATCAGAAACGGAATGAATGAACATACCCAATTTGGGAGGTCCGTCCGGATTTTCTTGGATCGGCGCTGGGCCCCCTCCCAGCCGCGCTCCGCGAGCCAGAGGCGGCGCCGGAGGCGCCGCTAGGGGGACCCAGCGCGGATCCACGAAATCCGCGCGGACCTCCGAAAGTTTATGGCCATGCAGTTCCTTTGTTTCCTTTACTCTCAGGAACACCTCAGATAAGAGCAGCCGGGGTAGGGAAGCAGGAGGCGGAGGGCACGTCAGGAGGGACAGGAGAGCCCAGAATCGAATCGACAAGTCGGATCGGCGATCGCAATGAATCGGATCGGCGGAAATCGGCAGCCGAGTTGGGAGAAGCCGAATCGGCGTCAATCGGCAGGCTAGCACGCCTCCGATAAGAGATCGGAGCCCAGACCGGAATCCCGAATTCGAATCGGGATCGAAGCCATCGGAACCGAACCGAATGGAGTCGGAGGAGTCGAAAGGAGCCCTGGGAGTGGCACGAGGGGGGGATCCGCGGGCGGCTGCCGCGGAGGCAGGGGCAGAGGCAGGGTCCTCCTCGGAGGCCATGTGCAGCTGCACGGCCTGCTCGAGGTTCCAGTTGCAGGACCTCGGGGCGCGCGGGCCGCAGCGGGCAGGTGGCGTGAGGGGAAGGGGGCCAAACGATCGAGGCAGGAGGAGCGGGTGAAGGAAATCGAGGGTGGTACGGCCTTGTTCCTCCTCCTCCTCCTCCTCCTCCTCCTCCTGCTCCTCCTCCTCCTGCGCCTGCTCCTGCACCTGCTCCTGCTCCTGCTCCTGCTCCTGCTCCTGCTCCTGCTCCTCCTCCTCCTCCTCCTTCTCCTCCTTCTCCTCCTCCTCCTCCTCCTCCTCCTCCTCCTCCTCCTACTGCTCTCCTCCTCCTCCTCTCCATTCCTTCTCATTGTAGATAACTCCTCCCTGTCGCACCCCGAGGCCAGTTTTTAGGGCGGGCCAGGCTCAACATTTGCGAGAGTTTCTCGGATTGACGGCGGGTCGTTCACAAAATGTGGCTCTCGCCTTAGCGCCGCGCACATTCGCTTTCAAGATTTGCCAGAGTTTCACGGATTCTGGGCGGGCGGTTTTCAAAATGTGGCTCTCGCCTTTGCCCCGCACGCTTTCGTTTTCAAAATTTGCAAGCGTTTAGCGGATTGAGGTCGGGTGGTTTTCAAAATGTGGCTCTCGCCATTGCGCCGCGCGCTTTCGTTCTCAACATCTGCAAGAGTTTAACGGGTTGACGGCGGGTCGTTTTCAAAATGTAGCTCTCGCCTTAGCGTCGCGTGTCGAAATCATCGCAATCGGGGATCTTCTGACACGAATCAATCCAGACCCGGGTCAGCAGGAAACCGAAAAGCTGCAACGCAGGACAAAAAACTGCAACGCAGGTCTTCGCAAACCCGGGTCAACCAATATGCGCGGCCGCCTCGTTCGCTAACCCGGGTCAGCCAGAGAGAGTCTTCGCAGGATCCTGCAGGATCCTGTGCCCTGGCTGACCCCCGTTTGAGAGGGCACACTCCGTGTCAAACAAGACAGTGCGGGCTACTCTCGCGCGTCGGCCGCGCGCGCATGTCGAACTCCGTCCAAAACATTTGTTCTGACCCACGCGGGGACACCGTCATCGTCATCGGCGTGAGCAGCATCGGTGCCGTCATTGGAATTGCAGTCGTCAGCGACATCCTCGCAACCACGATCGCTACTATTAGCGTCGCGTCTCTCGTTGTTGACGTCGCCACGATACCGCGCACGCCCAAGTCACCGACTTGCAGTGGAATGCATGACCGCGGAGAAATGCCCAGCGGCCAGCGCCACCGCGGACGCGTCGGCCGCGCCAAACAAACTGGCCGCTGTGCGCGCGAGCGCGCGCGGACTAGCGTGGCCGCAGTTGCGCACTACCACCAAGCACTCATCAATCACCGCCGCACAGGTTTTGCAAACCACCTCACAAATGAGTGGGTGGATGATTGCGCGAAAAGTGGAATTGACAACACCCAGCTCCCCAAAATTATTCGCACCGCATAGATTGCACTACGTTGCTTGCACCGCATAGAGTACACAGCCTACACGGCATATCGTAGGCAGGACAAAAAGGATTGCACAACTGACTCTGCACCGCAAGAATTGCACCACAAAAACTGATCAACATGGATTCCCGCTTCTCACGGTATGAGGATTTACCCCGGTGCGCCTTTTTGCATTGCATTTGCCATGTGGTGCTGTCACATCGTCCGTTCCAAAAATCAAACCGTACCATCCCAGGAAGTCCCTTAGTCCCCCCCCCCTTCCACCCCCTCCACAAATAGTACGCACACTCTCATTTATCAAAGACCATTAATTTCCAGGCGCCCCTTTCAAACAACGGAATCAAGTGCACGCGCGGGCGTCGTTGCGCGCGCATACCGAAAATCTTCAAACACCTTAGGCTTCGCAGGAGATTCAAATGTGAGTGCCCTGTTCTGTTATAGACAAATCTGGTTTCGCCACAAGAGTTTCCAAACAAGTCTGCGCTCGCGTTCTTGCGAATTCCTATAAAAACGAGAGCTTCTCAACATCATCATCAAAAACTACCAAAAATGCCTTTCGCGCGCGCATGTCGCAATCATTCGAACGCCCTTGCGCGCGTGCTGTCGCAAGAATCCCATCCCTTGAACCCAAAAAAAAAGACGACGTGCACACGCGCGCGTCGTCACGCGCGCATGCCGGAATCCTTCAAAACCCTAAGTTTCGTAAAATTCGAGCGTCCCGATGACATGTGAAACACACCGGGATTTGAAGCTTCAGTGTTCCAACAAATTCCTGCGCGCGTGTTTGCGAATTCTGCACATAACCATAAGTTATTTCTGAATTGTCATCACATTCAACCAAGCGCCCCCCCCCGCGCCGCATGGCAAAATCACTACAACGTCCTTGCGCGCGTGCCGGAGGGGGTACGAAACCTACAAAATAAAACCATACGGGCCACTCGCGCGCCTCGGCCTCGCGCGCATGTCGAACTCCTTCCAAAACCTTAATTTCCCACGCGGGGACACCGTAATCGTCACCAGAGTGAGCAACATCGGCGCCGTCATTAGCCTTATTGTCGTCAACGAAATCATCGGCAGTATCACCGCTACAATCATCATCGTGTCTACCGTGTCGTCGTCGCCACGATACCGCGCCTGCCCAAGCGGTCAGCGCCACCGCGGACGCGTCGGTCGCGCCAAACTAGCTGGCCGCGGTTCTCGCGAACATGCGCGGGCGAGCGCGGCCGCAGAGATGCATCACCCAATACCAATGCTTGGTAACCCAGCAGTCATCGCAATCGCCACCGCATGGGTTTTGCAAACCTAGTTGCGGATGGGCGGGTGGGATGACTGCGCGAGCAGTGGAATTGACAACCCCACGTTTTTCGCAATGAACTATCTCTCCTTGAAAAAAAAACTACCCCCATCACCCCCCCTGACGTATCACCGCCCCCTGGGGTATTGCTGTTTACACATGATCATGTCTCCTCGTTCATTTTACACATGAATTCATACAACCCCGACTCATACCATCCCAGCCAAACCTGTCTCGATCCCCCCGTCATAACAGTCAAACTTAGACCGTGCGGTGACCACGAGTTGATCTAAGATGAGCTCGCGGCACGGTTCCCAATCAAACAATGCCATGCGAACCACATGCACGCGCGCAAAACGAAGCCCGTCCAAAACCGTTGTGTTCGTAGCGAGCTCAACATACAAACATCAAAAACCCAATAGTTTTCCCAACAAGCGTTCAAATGTTTATCCCCCGCGCTCTTGGGGATTCAGACGAAGATCAATATTTGTTCAACTTTCCTGTTCACTCAGGCCTTCGCGCCCACGTCGAATTTATTCCAACACACTCGCCGCTTGCCAGAGGCATGGTCCTTGTCGAATAATACCATGCGGGGCACATGCGTTAATCGATGATGAGCTTGTGGCGCGAGCCCCTGTCGAGCAATACCACTCGGCGCGCATGCGGGGCTCGAAGGAGGAGCCTCTGGGACGAAGCCTGATCCCAAAATACCATGCGGGCCGCATGCGCGTCACTCCCCTGTGGGGAGTTGAGGGGGAACTCCTTTGTTC